AGGATTTTCCCCCACCCCATCCTCATGTCTTACCTGTGTTCAAGGCCTCAGCCCCACTATGAATGGAATGGGTTTCCCTGGACTGATCACTTTAACATGCAGGGAAAGAAGCTCAGACCCGAGCAGTGGCTGTCTGGCCACAATAAGGGGAGGCTCCACTTTCATATACCCAACTGGATCTTGGGCTGTTCCACTTGGGTGTCCCAAAGACACCTCAACCTTAGTATGTCAAGAATTGATTCCTCACTTCCACTCCTTCTTCCTTCTTCTGAGAAAGGTTTACCCCAGAGCTCCAAGGTCATTTGTCCTTCTAGAGAAGAGGGCTCAAAGGACTCCTAGGTGATTCTCTAGCCTCTATGATAGTAGAACAGAAAAATCAACTTCCATATCTGAAAGTGCTCTTGGTCTATAGTAAAACAAGGCTGATAACCATACCTGGCTCAAGATTATCTCCTGATAAGCAAACTGGATAAATCATGTGGAAATGGTTAAAAATATGGAGTGCTATAGCCAAGGGAGGGGCTGGTATTTAAGGAAGGGGTATTTGACCTCTGGTAATTAACCTGTCTAGTAACCACCCTCCACTTCTGATTACAGAGCCCTTTTCTACCTTAGGAAACTCATTCCATGTGGTATGGGTGGGGTTTGGCCTGCTAGAGAAGTAGGAACATGCCTCAGGCTTAGCCAATCAGAGAACTCCATAGTTGGTTCGGAAATGGCCCTGTGACCTTGGAAGAAGTCAGCTAAAGTCCTCCAAGTGTTTTTCTGCTGGAGCTCTTGGGAGAGACAATTTTTGTCCACTTGAATCGCTAAAGTCAGTATGGCCTCTCAGGTGGTGAGAACCCAGTTAGGAAACACAGAGACAGAGGAAATTCCCTGGTGGTCCAATAGTTGGGACTCTGCATTCTCACCACCTAGAGCCCAGGTTTAGTCCCTGGTTGGGGAACCAAGATCCCCCCAAGTCACGTGGCTTGGCCAAAAAAAGAGAAAACAAGAGAGAGACAGGGTTCTGTTGGAATCATTCTAGCCTCTGAATTCAAGACTGTATGACGTCACATCCACCCTGATGTATCAGTTCCATAGGTCAATACATCTTCTTTTTTTGTAGCTTGAAGAGCCTGATTGTGTCTTTAAAACAACAAACCCTTACTCACAGACTTAGAAAATGAACTTACAGTTGCCGAGGGAAGGATGAAGGGAAGGAAAAGTTATGAGAGTTTGGGATGGACATGTACTCAGTGCTATATTTAGAATGGATAACCAATAAGGTCCTATGGGATAGCACAGGGAACTCTGCTCAAAGTTAGGGGGTAGCCTGAGTGGGAGGGGAGTTTGGGGGCAAATAGATACATGTATATATATATGGCTGAGTTCCTTATTATTCACCTGAAACTTTCAGAACATTGTTAATATGCTATACAAAATAAAAGTTTAAATAAAAAATAAAAAGTTTAAATCTGGAAACAAACTCCTTGCCTCCTCATTTTTACCAGTGCATGACCTTGTTCAAGACTTGGCTCAAATTCTCCTCTTCCAAGAAGCCTGCCTGAATCATCCCATTACATGATATGTTATCATTCAGATTATATTACCTCGTGCTGGTTTGTCGGTATTAAAAATGTGTTGAGTCCTCCCAAGCGAGGGAGCTTCTTCCCTCTGCAGGGCGGGAGTGTGGTGTGTGAGCCGTATGTGCACACTGGGATGGAGTGGGTGAGGACATAGGGGCACATGGACTCCACCTCTCAAGACTAGAAGGCATCCAGGATTCCCACTTTCTCTTCCTTGCCACGTGAGAGTCATTACCAAGTCCTGTGAACTCCATTCAGTATATCCTGATCCTCTTCTTCTCCATCCCTGCCACAGCCCCACCCACAGGGCTATTAGAGCCTCCCAGTCCTCTTGTCCCCTACAATTCAGATTACCATCACAGCCACAGTCATCTTTAGATCGTGTCACTTCCCTCTTGTTATTGTAATAAAACCTGGCTTCCTCACCTGCAGTTCTGTACACAACAGGGCCCCAACCTGCCTCTCCCACCACTCCACCCCTACATCAGCTTTCATCCTACTGTTCAAGCTTGGGGAGCAGCACATAGGGCCACCTTAGGGGGAGCTCCTTAGCTGTTTCCCTGCCTGGAATGTTCTCCCTGAGATCACTGCCTGCCTCAGCACAAGCATCACCTCTTTAAGGCGGCATTCTCTGACCCTTCCAGGCCCTCTCACTGCATCACTCTGATATGTTCTATTTACAGCATTCATCATCACTGAAATGATCTGTTTTGAGTATCTATTTACTTGTTTTGTTTTCTCTCCCCTGACTAAGATGGAAGCTTCAGGAGGGGAGGGAACTTCTCTCTTACGTTCACTGCCATAGCTCCTGCATCTGAAACAGTGCCTGACACATTAGAGGATGCTCAATATATTACTGTTGAATAAATGCACAAACAGAGATCAGGCAGTGATCTGATATGGTCCCAACCCTGGAAGCCCAAACATGGAGGCATGATGGAGAGAAATAGACATTTAAATTGCAATGTAATAAGCACGTCCATAAATGCCAAGACAGCTCCTGGGGCTCACCTTGAAGAGGCACCCACCCAGAGTGCATGAGAGAAAGTGCTGGGCAGGCTTCCTGGGGAAGCCAGGTCCAAGCTGAGACCTAACAGTTGTGAGCAGGTTCAGGGGAGGTAGAAAGCTTGTCTCAGGTGGGGATGCCTGAACCTACAAAGAGCCAGAGGGCGTGAGAGCACAGTGAAGGGGGTTCTGAAAACAGCACCTGCAGAGCCTCTGACCTGCCCACCTGGAGAAGGGCTTTCTTCACTTCCTCCCTGGGCGACTTGGAGGCCGTCACCTGGATCCAGATCATTCATTTCTTCACTTATTCCTTTAATGACCGTTGGGTTCTGACAATGTGCCAGGGCCTGGACTAGGCACTGGGGAGGCAAAAATGAAAGGGCTTAGGCCTCTGTGGCTGAAGAAATAGCACTGAGCCATATAGAAGTCCTGCTCAAGATGACACCATGAGACCCCAGCCACCATGTGCAGAGGGTACAGCTGGGTCCTCCTTCCACCCACGTGCCTGGGCGTCGAGGAGAAAGCAGGGACACTCCTGCCAGCCCTTCAGGGACTTGCCCTCGGACTGGTCCTTCTGCCTGGAGAGCCTGCCTTTCTGCTCCCTCATGCACGCACTTGCTCAGCACACACACAGGCACACACATCACCTCCGCTCTGGTCACGGGCTCACACCCACGCCTGCCCCACGTCCTCACACACACAAGTCCACACTGGTGCCAGTTACCAAGGTGGGGAAAACCAGATTGGGGTGGGGACAGAAAGCAAAGTTTTGGCTTGCCTATGTTAATTTTGAAATGCCTGGTAGATATCCAAACGGAGATGACAAGCAGATGTGAGCCTGTAGCGCAGTGGAGAGGTAGGAGTAGGAGATGCAGGTGTAGGAGGCATCAGCAGATGGATGGTTTTAAAGCCTCGAGGAGATCATCTAGAGAGTCTCCGGAGGAAAGGAGAAAGTCTAGAACCAATCCTGACACATGAAAACATGTAGAGGTTGATTGAAACCAATAGTGGAGCCTGTGATGGGCAGAGAGAGAGAGAGAAAGGAGAAAAGCAGGGAGGTGATTTTCGCTGAAGCCAAGAGAAAACATTTCAACGAGGAGATGCAGCCAGTCATCCCACTGCTGCTGGTAGATCCAGCAGCCAGGCAGAGGAGTGACCACTGGCTTCAACAACATGGAGGTCGCTGGAGAGACCTTGATGAGAGTGGTTTTAATGGAGCAGTAGTAATGGGACGCCAATGGGGTTGGGTTTGGAGAAAATGGGAGTGAAGAGGTGAGAGCATCAGATAGAGAGAGCTTCTTAAGGAAATTCTACCATGAAGGCCTATGGGAGCAACAGCTGCTGGAGGGAGAGGGGCATCAAGGTGGAAATTTTTTGTTTGATTTGCTTTTCTTTTCTTTTCTATGGAAGCATAGTTGATTTACAATGTTGTGTTAGTTTCAGGTGTATAGCAAATGATTCAGTTATACATATATATATTATTTTTCAGATTCTTTTCCCTTACAGGTAGTTACAGAGTATTGAGTATGATACTCTGTGCTACACAGTAGGTCCTTGTTCTTTTTCTATTTTATATGTGTGTGCACTCAGTCACTCAGTTGTGTCTGACTCTTTGCGACCCCATGGACTGTAGCCAGCCAGGCTCCTCTGTCCATAGGATTTTTTTCAGGCAAGAATACTGGAGTGGGTTGCCATTTCCTCCTTCAGGGGATCTTCCTGCCACAGGGATTGAACCCATGTCTCCTGTGTCTCCTGCATTGTAGGTAGATTCATTATCCACTGAGCCATGGGAGAAACCTTCTATTTTATAGTAGTGTGTATATGTTAATCCCTAACCCTTTATTTATCCCTCCCTGCCTGCCCCACTTTCTCCTTTGGTGAAAATTAAGTTTGCTTTCTATGTCTGTGGGTCTATTTCTGTTTTGTATGTAAGTTCATTCATATCACTTTTTTTTTAAGAGATGTGAGCTCCTAGAGAATTTATGTATGTTGTGGGAAAAATCCCATGGAGAGGGGGGATATTATGATAAAGAAGGGAAGATAATAAAACATTTCATGAGGAGAGACCCTGAGAAGGCAAGAGGAATGGGATCCAGAGCTCAAGACAGAGTTGGGTTTAGATAGATGTTGGGATGGTGGGCCAGTCTGTGGGTACAGATGCCAGGGGCCTAAATGTTTTGGTGGAGGGAAAATGGGTTCCTTCCAATATTTTCTATTTTCTCTGTGTAGTAGGAAATGACTTGATGAGCTGAAGAACATGTGGCCTTAGAAGACAGATAAGAAGGTGGAGTGGAAAGGCCAGGGGCTAGAGAGAGAACCCTTGTTGGGAGCCCAGTGGAGAATTCTTCCATTGAGTGAGATCAGTCAGCAGTGTGTGAGCCTCACAGCCATATTCAGCCATGCGGGTGCAGGCACAAAGGCTGAGAATTAGGATACATGGCCCTTGGGCACCAGGGCTTGGGTCAGGGCAAGAGGATGAGATGGCCCGATGCCCCTGATGATCTCGGCCTCACCTGCAGAGAGGCCTGTCCCTCCACCGCCGGCCCTTGGCGTGTTCCGCACTCGAGAGACACCAGCAATTTCGATGGCGAGGGGGACCACCTGGCGGTGGGCAAGAGGCGTGAGGTCAGTGTGTTGAATGCTCACCCCTCTTCACGCCCTGCTCCAGCACAGCCTAGAATAAGCACGCCCACGTGATGGACCTTGGAACACAAAGATAACAAGGTGTGCTGCTGGGTCCTGGCCCCAGACCTGCTCGGAAGACAAACAGCCCGGTCACAAAGAGCTTCTCAGAGGAGTTTTATTGGGGTGCATGTGTGTCTCCTTCACTGTCAGGCACCCACTTGCCTCCAGAGAAAGGGCTCCTTCATCACTCACGTTAGTCATGAGTCCCTGCACAAACAAGGGGCCTTTCCAGGGCTTTCCCACCCACCTTGTGCCAGAGCCTAGCACAGAGGCTGGCTCACACAGAGAGGCTCTGTAGTTTCTTATGAATAAACGAATGGACATATAAACGAATGGACATATAAACAATGAACGAGTGGACATATCGGGGCAATTGTCCGTCCAAGGAACGGAAGCCTTCACTCAAACCTGGCCAGAATGACCAGCCCCTCGCCCATCGCTTCCCTGAGGGCAGCCGGGATGACCAAGACCAGCTCAGGCAGAGTCAGAAGGTCTCCAGGTTCAAGGGAAGTTCCTCTTGAGAGGGGAGGGCCGACAGCGTCTTCGGGAGCTGAGGAGAGAAAGCAGACCCTTTCTATCCTAGAGTTGGATACAAAAGGGCTTGAGGTTAATTTAGTTCTGGACACCGTGGTTCTGGACAAGAGAAGCTTGTCCGCCTTCTCTCATGACCTCTGGGCGTGACCCTTGGTGGCCAGAGTAGGCCCTGGAGCTCTGACCTCTGCTCCTCACCAGCAGTGGTGAGCCTCTTGACCTCAGGCTAGGGCCTTCCGAGCACAGCGGCCACCTCAGTGGCTGCAGGGTCAGAGGTCAGCGAGTCAGGGGTCACGCTGAGAAGGCACTGTTGTTTCCAGACTGTTGGGGCTGAAGGGCGAGCTGATGGAGACCCGACCCCAGGGCCCAGGCCGGCGGGCAGCTGGGCTCGCACACCTGTCCTCTTGACCCTCTAACTGTTCCCAACGCCCCGTTGTTTGTCGGGTCCTCCTGAAGGCCTGGGTCAGCTAGACGAAGGATGGAAACCCTAGCTGGAAGAATGGAGGAACGTTGAGGGCCAACCTCCGGGAATACTCGCTGAGCCTTCCTGAAGGGGTTCTCAGTCTGGCCGGGAACCAGGAGAAAGAAGAGGACTAGGTGGGCTGAGGGCCAGCAGCGGTACAGATGAGGGGTGCCCACACTTGGCTCCAGGTCCCTGCTGAGGGGCTAACCAACCCTGCTGGCCCCAGGACACGGATACTCTTACTCACCTTGGATTTGTCCCCAGATGTGAGGGCGGGCAGGACAAATCCAAGGAAATAACACCTGTGAGGAGGCCTTGAGAGGGGCTAACCAGGACAAGCCAGCACGGCCTGTGGGTGAGCCTGGTGAGTAAGAGTATCCGTGTCCTGGGGCCACTGTAACGAAGCATCACAGACTGGGAACTTAAATAACAAAAACGTAATGGACTTCCCTGGTGGTCCACTTAAGAATCTGCCTGCCAGTGCAGAAGACATGGGTTTGATCCCTGGTCTGGGAACTAAGATCCCACATGCCTCAGGGCAGCCAAACCTATGCTCCACAACTACTGAGCCCACACACCACAACTCCTGGAGCCTGCACCCTGGAGTCCATGCTCTGCACCAAGCGAAGCCACCGCAGCAAGAAGCCCGGGCACCGCAATGAAGAGTAGTCCCTGCTCACTGCAACTAGAGAAAGCTGATGCACAGCAGTGAAGACCCAGCACGGCCAAAAACAAATTAAAAAAAATTATTTTCTCACAGTTCTGGAGGCTGTAAGTTCAAGATCAATGTGTCGGGAGGGTTGGTTGCTCCTGAGGCCTCTCCCCTTGGCCTACAGATGGCCACCTTCTCACTGCATCCTTGAATGGCCTTTCCTGGTGTCTCTTCTTACAAGGGCACCAGTCAGATTGTACTAGGGCTCACATGACCACATGTCACCTTAACAACCTCTTTATTTTTCTTTCTTGATTTTTTTGTTATTGTTTTTCATTTTGGCCGTGTGGTCCAGCATCCAGGAGCCTAGTTCCTTGACTAGGGATTGAACCCTCGTCCCCTGCCCTGAAAGTGCAGAAACTTAACCACTGGGCCACCAGGGAAGTCTCCTTAGTTACTTCTTTAAAGACTCTATCTCCCAAAACAGTCATACCTGGAGGAGCTGGGGGTTAGGCCTTCAACACGCCGATTTTAGGAGACACAGTTTGGTGCCTAACAGTGACTACGGTCCCGATTGTGACTGTGCATGTTTATAGAGAAATGGACTGCTGGACCAGGCAATAAAACACCAACCACAGGAGGGACAGTTCCTCCTGTGTGTGTGTGTGTGTGTGTGTGTGTGTGTACTCACATGTGCAAGTGTACACAGCAGCCTGCTAGTCACTCAGCAGATGTGCTTCCCTTGGCTCACCTGATATTTCCTCAGAGAAGGACAGGCACTATAGGCCCATTTTCTGGATGAGCTGAAATTGTCCAGGTCACAGGCACAGGACAGCACTAGAACCTCTACCCAGGCTGCCTCGGTGTCCTGGGTGCTCCTTGCTCCCTGCCCCATCCTTGCCAGTAAGGTCATATCCCCGGATCTCACACCACACCTCTGGAAGAGTCCCAGCAGTCGGCTGTGGGGCCTCTACCTATGTGTGATGTAGGCGGAAACGGAGGTGACAATCTACTGCCTGGAAGTGGAGTGATTCATGAGCCCATGAGTTTACTGGCTAGTGTGTGTCTTATCTCCCTGACTCACTTGATTTTTAGGCTCTGACAAGTTCAGCGATTTGCCAGGGTCTGACAGGTGTTGTACCCAGAGGGCAGGGCTTGGTCCCTGCTGGGCCCAGCTCCTCCAGAGACCCTGCGCAGGTTTTTGGAGACCTCCTGAGCTGGCCCACAGTGGGTCCCTCTGGGAAGGGCACACACAGCCTTGGCTACACCCTGACAGCCTCTGGTCCTGCTCTCTGGTTCTCAAGGGGCCTTTGTCCCTCCCGCGCCAGACGACCTGGTGGCCCTGGGACCCCATCCTGGTTCCCCCACTTGGCTGTGGAGGAGCTTGGCTTCCCAGGAACCTCTTGTGAAGGGCTGGGGGCTGTGGCAGGTGAGGGGTCACATGTACAAATGCCAGGAGACCAGAGTGCCCAATCTCTAGGACGCCAGCCAGTTCCTCATGGAGGCTTTTCTTTGAACTGGCTCTGATTGGAGAGCCTTGACCAGCTGCCCTTAGCCCCACTGGCTGAGGCCTTGCTGGGTTTTTCTGTTGGAAAATTTCATCCAGACACTTCCAAGGAGCTCCAGCGCTCCTGTGTCTGCCTCCAGGGCCATGGCTGATGGGAGGCCAGAGAACAAGTCCTTCCTTGACCTGGTCATGGTAGGTAAGGGGTCCCTGGGGAAAGGGCTGGGGCCTGGAGAGCTGCTCATCTTTGACTGTCAGGTTCTTCCAGCCAAGCAACTACGTGAGGGCTTGGAGCAGGAGCCCTAGAGCGTGTCCTCAGGGGCAACTTTGGGTCTAATCTTGTCAGTCATGACCTCTCCTGCCTGTGAATGGACCAATGGCATATGGGCACTGCCCCCGTGACAGCCAGAATGGCCAAGGCTACCTAAAATCTCTCTTCCTAATCAGCCCCGGTGTTAAGGCTCTTCCTAGCAGAGACACATTGATAACCTCAGATATGCATATAACATGACCCTTATGGCAGAAAGCAAAGAGGGACTAAAGAGCCTCTTGATGAAGGTGAAACAGGAGAGTGAAAAAGTTGGCTTAAAACTCAACATTCAAAAAACTAAGATCATGGCATCCGGTCCCACAACTTCATGGCAAATAGATGGGGAAACAATGGACAGATTTTATTTTCTTGGACTCCACAATCACTGCAGATGGTGACTATAGCCATGAAATTAAAAGATGCTTGCTCCTTGGAAGAAAAACTATGACAAATCTAGACAGCGTATTAAAAAGCATAGATATTACTTTGCCGACAAATTCCATCTAGTCAAAGCTATGGTTTTTCCAGTAATCATGTATGGATGTGAGAGTTGGACCATAAAGAAGGCTGAGCCCAGAAGAACTGATGTTTTCAAACTGTGGTGCTGGAGAAGACTCTTGAGAGTCCCAGGACTGCAAGGAGATCAAACCAGTCAATCATAAAGGGAGTTATTCCTGAATATTCATTGGAAGGACTGATGCTGAAGCTAAAGCTCCAATACTTTAGCCACCTGATGTGAAGAACTGACTCATTAGGAAAGACCCTGATGCTGGGAAAGATTGAAGGCAGAAGGAGAAGGGAGCGACAGAGGACTAGATGGCTGGATGGCAACACCGATTCAATGGACATGAGTTTGAGCAAGCTCCAGGAGACGGTGAAGAGCAAGGAAGCCTGGTGTGCTGCAGTTCATGGGGTCTCCAAGAGTTGGACATGACTGAGCGACTGAGCAACAAGAAGAGACCAGGACTCAGTGACCAAGGACTACACATAGCCAGCCTGGAGGTTCCCTCAGGACCACTTCATCCAGTCCTCTCGTTGGCAGAGACCTCACTGGCGCCTGTCAGCTCCCGGGGCTCTCAGGGTTTGTGTGGATGGTTGCCGTGCCCTGAGGCAACCACAGTGCCCTGACTTTCAAGCACACTCCTAACTGTTGAACAAATAAACGAATTCAGGTCCTCAGGTCATTCCAGCGCTCCCCCACTCCCCGACCCCTGCCAACCAGCAACCGTGGTCAAGGGCCTGAGATTCAGTTCATTGCTGCCGGTGTTGTATGTGTGTGTGGAGGGGGTGGGGGGTGGGGATAACTCTCCATTTCTACCAGGAGCCCAGGGGTTTGCCTGGATGGGAAGAGACTGCAAGTCTGTCCTGGGCCCGTGGCTGCGAGCGTGGAACTTTTCAGGAAATAAAGAGGCATTGATTGTGGGTCCTGCCGGCAGGTAACTGAAGCTGCCTGATTCCCTTCAGACCAAACCCTGAGGTGCTCGGGGCCCTGAGCTGGCGCGGCTCTGAAAGGCACTGACTGGGCCCTGGCCTGGCTCCAGGAGGCGCGGCGTGGGAATGCGGCCTTTACCCTCTGCCGGGCCTCGAGGGTGGGGAGCTGGGTCTGGGGCGGGATCTGGGACCGAACCCCAGGGTGGCCTCTGAGGGACACTTCTGGGCAAGGCAGGCCTCAAAGGGCCCAGAGCAGCCACTTCCCCTGTCATCTGTTCCTCCCTAGCGGGTCTTCCAAGACTGTCTTTTGGTGGTGAAGAAGGCTCACGGGAATTCCCTCGTTCCCGTGAGTGGACATGGGCTGTTCCATTGCCCCTCCCAGGGACCACTCCTGGGTCCACTTGGAGAAGCACTGGGCATCAAAGTGGAGTAAGACCTGCAAAGGGTGCGTGATTAGAGAGCCCTGGATCCAGCAGGCCCCATCTTCTCCCCCCTCCAGATTTTTGGAAGAAGATTGTTTCCCACATTTTGACGCATCAGCAACCATGACTGTGGGGCCAGGGTCCCAGGGTCCCAGGGTCCCAGGGTCCCGGGCGCTCATGTCTAAGGGTGGCAGCCCTGGCCGGGGGCAGCAGCAGCAACAAGTGGGTCTGTTCTGCCGGAAATTCTTGGTCTGGCCTGGCCTCTCTAGAGCCCCAGGCCAGCAGGAAACCTGCCTTTCCTGTCCGGGGATCCCAGCCCGTCAGGCTCCCTGGGTGAGGGCAGGGCGCTCTCTTCAGTTCTCACACAGAACTCTGCTGGGTTGGGTTCCCAACATACAGAGGTCCGGCCCCATTGGGCCCGCTTACTTTTTCCTCCTTCTCTGGCTGGGGCAAGGGAAAGGGGTAAACAGTTTGGGGTTCGAATCCCTGTCCTGGCCCATTCTGATGGAGGCCCAGGACAAAGCCACTTCTTATTTCCTCTGTGCTGAACCAAACCTCTTTAGGGATCGCCTCTCACCCCCTGGTGGCTTTTCCGGGCTGGCTGAGGAAGGCCCGTCCTGTGTACCAGCCTGGGGGCCCTATCACTGTGTGTGTGTGTGTGTGTGCATGTGTGTGTGCGCGTGCGTGCGTGTGCGTGTGTGTGTGTGCGTGCATGTGTGTGTGTGTGTTAGTCGTTCAATCCTGTCCAACTCTTTGTGACCCCATGGACTGTAGTCCACCAGGCTCCTCTGTCCATGGAATTCTCCAGGCAAAAATAATGGAGTGGGTGGCCATTTCTTTCTCGAGAGGAGCTTCCCGACGCAGAGATCGAACTCGGGTCTCCTGCACTGGCAGGTGGATTCTTTACCGTCTGAGCCACCAGCCCCATCCAAGGTCCCATTGGAAATTTTGCTGACTGTGCAGGATCGTCTACACTCTCACTG